GGGCTGTGCCCACTGCCCTGGGGAGCCTGTTCAGTGCCAACCACCCTCTGGGGGAAGAACCTTTGGCTGAGATCCACCCTGAGCCTGCCCTGACACAGCTCCAGCCATTCCCTGGGGGCTGTCCCTGCTCCCCCCAGAGCAGAGCTCAGTCCTGCCCCTCCTCTGCCCCTGCCCAGGCAGTTGTAGCTCACTTGGGCCTGGGAAGTGTGTGGGTGTCTCTGCGCTCCCAAAATTAGCTCAGCTGGTCAGAGCACGGTGCTGACAACACCAGGGTTGTGGGTTGGATCCATTATGGGCCAGTCATGGAAGAGCTGGACTCGATCATCCTTATGGGTCCCCTCCAGCTGGGGATATTCTGGGACTGGGACATGAAATGTGGGTTGATGCAAAGCCCTGGGAGCTCCCTGGGAGAAGGAGCTTTCCCTGGTTGCTGCCAGGCTGAAGCAGCCCTGTGGGCTGGGCTGAGGGGAACTCCTGAAGTTACTGCAAAGGCACCTCAAGCTCCCAGAAAGGTGCCCTTTGTGCAGCCCAAAATGTGGTGAATAAAAACCAGTGAAAGGATTGACTGGATGAGGATCTGCTGGAACCATTTGTTTCCAGTCCTGCCTCTCCTGAGGCTCCTTTCCAGCCAGCTGGAAGCAAATTTCTCCCTCTTCTGTTTAGACATGAATTACCAAACGTTCCTGGACTCTTGCACACTGAGGTGACGTCCCTGCTCAGGGCTGAGCCCAGGCTGGGGGAGGAGATGTTCAACCAGCACAGAGACAACACAGGGAGATCCTCCCTGTCACATCACACTGGGGAACACTCATCTCCACGGCTCTCCCTGTGGGGCTGTGGGATATCCTGGCTGCTCTCCTGGAAGGCAGGGGGATGGATCACAGCAGTGCCCTGCCCAACACAGATGGATGGATCATCTTGATTGACTCCCTTGTTTAAATGGCTTGGATTTATCTGCACTTCCTGAGATGGAGTTCAGAGCAGCAGAAGGACAGAATATACAGAAAAAAAAAAAAAAAAAAAAAAGAGGGGTTAAGAGCTCAGTGTTCCAGTCCTTGGAGAGACAGGAAGAATTTGTTATGGATTTCAGTGGAACTGTTTCATGGGGAATGTGAAGAAGAAGGAATTAAAATGATAAACTGAGTTTTTGTTAGAATGTGTCTGTTAGAGTGGTAAAACCCTCAGCTGATGAACTGGGCAAGACCTGGGGTACTCTGAGGAAATGTGTTTGGGCACCAAGATCAGATTTTGAGGAAGAAAGAGACATTTTGAGAAGAATTGTCTCTGTGCGAATATATTGTTCTTTTAAAATGCTGTTTAACTGTGCTGCAGTCTGTGTGTGAAATGAAATTGGTGTCTCTTCCCTCCATAACCCGGCTGTGTCCCCTGTGTGGGGTTGGGAAGTTCACAGAGTGATCTCTTGACCTTCTGCAGGCCACAAAGTGTCCCCTTTCCCAGCTTCTTGAGCAGCTCCCCTGGCTCTTCTGAGCCTGGAGATGGCAAAAGGCAGCTTGGATGTGTCATCCCTCCCCAGGTCACAGCCAGTGGCTCCTGGCAGTTGATTTGTTGTGATTATCCCGGGATAAAATCTAATCAAGTGTGGGCAGGGGGACTCCAGCAGCCTGATGGAGCAGGGAAGGATGTGCAGAGGTTCCTTGTCAGAAGGAATAATAGGAACAATAGGAATAGCAGCAATAAAAGGGATAACAATACTACTACTACTACTACTAATGCAACCTCTGCTTCCAACTGTGATTTACATTCCCAGGTGATTTTATTTCTACCTCTTCATGCTACTTTTGGAGGAAAAATGTGTTCAAATCTGTGTCTTGGGGGGTGGTAGGAATGTGTTATGCAGGGCAGAGGAGGTCCATGGGAGGTTGGGAGCTGGACCAAGCTCATCCTGAAGCCCTGAGCACAATCTCAAGGTTATTGTCTCTTCAAAAGCAACAGAGGTGACAGAATCTGTCCTGCTCTGCCACTGAAACAAAGGAGAATTTACCCTGGTGTCTTTAATTAAAAAAAAAAAAAAACAACACAAAAAAAAGAAAACCAAACTAATCCAACATTACTTTTATGTTTCTAACAAAAAGAGAGAGTCTCTGCTAATGAAAAATATTAAAATTCCAGGTATCCTGTCTAATAAATAATAACATGAGCATGAACTTGGCTTCCCACAGTCAGCACCAAATCACACACAGAGCTCTTTATGTTTTGAACTTTGCCTATTTCCCTCAGCTCTGCAGATATAAATAAATAATTCCCCTTGATAAAGGTCTGGGAATGCTGTACTTTAAAAGATAAGAAAGCTTTGAGGGGGAAATTGTTTTTAAATCCGTAACATTTGTATGCTGTTCACTGCTCACAGCGAGCACAAATTCATTCACTTGGCAGTTACCCAACCCTATTTTATTCTTACTCTGTGTTCCACCTCTCCTTCTCCTGGGGACACCTAACCTTCTGTGTAATTACCTCTCTGAGAGTGGGAAGGAGGCCTAAATAACCTCCCTAACAACTAAATAAGTACACAGATCCCTGGGACAGGTTATCACTTGGATGCCAGTGGTGGAGCTATCAGGACCAGCGTGCATGAGCCAGGAGGAATTTCAAGACTTGAGGCAGTTTTGTTCCACCACTGGGCCAGAGAACTAGAATTTGGAATGTTTTCAGCTAACCAGCCTTGGGTTTTTGGAGTATTTGAATGTCTTTGATGGCTGGAAAGAACAGAGATGGGTTTTAACAGAGGTTGTTTTCTCTCCAGGTCTCTCCAAGTCACTTGGTCTCATTGAAGGCTATGGGGGGCGTGGGAAGGGTGGCCTTCCAGCCACCCTGTCCCCTGAGGAGGAGGAGAAGGCCAAGGGACCCCACGAGAAATATGGCTACAACTCCTACCTCAGTGAGAAAATCTCTCTGGATCGTTCCATCCCGGATTATCGGCCGACCAAGTAAGTCCCTGCTGCTCCACGAGGGAGTGCCGGGGTTTGGGTGGCACCACGGGAAGGGGGGTGGTGTCCCTGCTCTGGTTTGGGACTCTTGGCTCTTCCCTCATTATTGTTCAGGGATGAGCAACTGGGGTAGTCTGGCTGAAACTGAGATCAGGGAATCACAAAATCAGTGGGGTCAGAAGAGCCCTCTGAGATTGAGTTCAACTGCAAACCCAGCAGCAGGGTGTTCACAGCTAAACCACATCTGAGTGCCACATCCACACACTTTTGGAACACTTTCAGGGGTGGTGGCTCCCCCACTGCCCTGGGCAGCTGTGCCAGGGCTGGACACCCTTTCAGTGATGATATTTTCCCAATATCCAACCTGACTCCCCCCTGTCTCAGCTTGAGGCCGTTTCCTCTCGTCCTGTCACTTGTTCCCTGGGAGAGGGGACTGATCCCCACATGGCTCCATCTGGCTGTGGAGAGTGACATAATTCATTAAGATGATTTATCAGGGCATAAATCTTCCCACTCTTCTCTCTGTTTTCCTGAAGCAGTACATGGCTTTGGGTGCAAGTGGAGCCACCAGAGTCTCACAGCAGCTTTCACCAGCCAAGGGCTGATCCCTGAGCTGTTGACCTTGGTGCTTATTACCCTGTAAATGTGTGCAAAGACTCCCCCTCTCTCTCCCTTATCAGCTCCCTCACATCCCTGCAGGACCTCTGGGGCTGCCCTTGGGCTCCTCCTGGGACACTGTGGGATCTCCTGCTGGAGATCTGGGCCTTGGAAGGGAGTTGCTCAGGTGGCAACATCCTTGCTCCATTTTTTTGCCAGCATGATCTTTTAAGGTGATGGTGATGTTACCTGCCAGGCACCACAGAACAGATTTAAAAAGAGGTGACACACCGTTTTCCTCAGAGTGTGAGAGAAGACATGCTGGGAGTTTATCTTTGTGAAGGTTAATTTTAGATATGGCCGGTGGAGAGCTCCTCAAAATAGCAAAGGGTCAATTTGTCCAGGCCTGGAGTGAAATCCCTGATAAAAAAAATAGAAAAGGAGCTGAGAGAGACTGAGATGCTGGAAGACACTTGTCCAATGGCTGTGTCGTGGGGCCAGTGACAAAGCTGTTGCTTGGCATCTGCAGAGCACCGAAAATCCTGCAGCTCCCTGGCTCCAGCAGATTGTTCAGGCTGGGAGAGCTTTTGTTCCTTCCCTTCCCCGAATGCTGCAGGAATTTCAAGCAGCCACTCTTGAGTTTCCAGGGACAACACAAATCCTTGGCTGAGTTTTCCAAGGAGAGGAGGCCCAGGCTGCAGTTCTGCTGGGGTGGTTCAGGGCAGACTGAATTGCAGCTACAAATTGCACCTTTGGCTCTGGGAGATGCAAATTCCACTACAATGCAAATCCTCGGAGCGGGACCTCCCCGAGCTGTTACCTGAGGCTGAGCTGCTTATTTCCACTTCTTGTCCAGAACTCTGACTTCAGCATTGCTTCCTGAGAATTCATTTGAGAAGTAATGTGGCATTTTTTTTTCAGATTTTGGGGGAAGAAAAGGATGAATTCTGACATTTTTAGGCTCGCATTGTATTTTCCCTTGGTGCCACTATCCATCATTTCATGGGAGAGTGGTGGAGAGGACAGAGCAGGCACAGCAATTCCTTAGAGATGCTTCATTTTGGAGCTGGGCTGATCCTTTGGAGAGAAGCTGTGGCACTGACTGCAGCTGCATAATTTTATCCGTGTAAGAACTGAGGATTGTGTTCTCTTTGTTGCTTTTTTTTTTTATTTTATTTTGGAGATCAATCATCTTGGTATTGCAAGAGAACAGTTGATCTGCTATGAAATAGGCTGGAGTTTGCTGGAGGATTTGAAAAGTTTCAGCTTTTCCAACCTCTGAGCTCCAGGCTCCTCTCAGCACTTTGTGCCTGCAACTTTATGGCTGATTTTTTGAAGGGTTGAACACAAACCATTTAAGTCAAGTATCCTGGGCTCTGATTAAAAGAGATTCCAGTCAGAGGAAATTAGCCTAAATGGCTTTGAAATTGCAGCATTAGTGGGGAAAAACTGTAGAGAACCCTCCAGCTGATAAGAATTACAAAGCATGTTAGTTTTAAATATAATAGCGAAGCCTGTTTGCTTCAAGGAAAGAACCAGAATGCTGATGGACTGGGCCTGGGCCTGGCAGTGGCTGCTGCTCTCACATCCTTTCCATCTTGTTTTTTTTAAAGAATGTGGTCAGGTGTCACTGTGAGGCCTCCTTCTGCTCCCCCTTTGTGCCCAAGTGAGGCAGAGGAAGGAGAGTTCAGGGGAAATTCGGCCCCATCACTGAGGGTTTAGAGGTTCAGGTGTCCCTGCTCAGAGTGGCTTTGCAGGCAGGGTTTGGGGATGAGGAACAGCAGCACTCCCAGCTGAGGGGTTCCTGTCCCTGCCCAGGGGCAGCAGAAAGGAGGGAGGTGATTTTCCCTGGAGAAAACGGTGCCAGAGGTGCTGGGTACAGGATGGTGCTCAGGAGAAGGCAAGATCTTCCCCAGCAGCAGGAGCAAGGGTGTGGAACACCTTGTTTGCCCTGACCTGAGGAACTGTGGTGTCTCTTTTTTGGTAGTTTGGATTCTCATCTCGGCTTTGGTTACAAAATGCAGGGTTAGAGATGTCCTTTTCCTTTCCCAAAAGCTGAGGCTGCTCCCCTGGGCTGGGAGGTGCCCTGCTGTTCACCACTGGAACAGGACTGGGTGTTGCACTGCACTGGTTCCCAAAAAGGTGCTGGCAGTGTGGAGAGGTGGAATAACCTGTGTGCTGCTGGTGCCATCCAGGAGCTGGGCCTGTCACACCTTAATCTGGAGCTCATTAACGTTGATGTCCCTGGGCCTGACCTTGTGCTGAGCAGCAAAGGTTGTGCTGGGTGAGCACTGCAAGGTGCTTTGAGAGTGAACCACATAATAGGTCACATTTTGGGTGGCCAAGGAAGCTCCTCCTTCAGCTAAAATAAGGCAGGAGTGACATTTCGGTGCAAGGGACTTGATTTCAGAACTGGCCTCAAAACAGTGGCATAATGAGACAGGCACAGGCAACACATTTGTAACTTGTCTGATTGGGTTTTTTGCCTTTAAGATGAGATTCCTGCCTGTTCTGGAAAACAATTACGGCTTCCAGATTGGGAGTACCCAAGGTGCTGCCTGCAGGCTGCAGGACTTCTGCACAAACCTCCAAAAAAAAAATTATTTTCTGCAAAAAACTGTGAAGGACAAGGCTGATCTGTGAGTTTTATTGTTGATCCACTCACGGCATTTTCTGCCTGTGGAGGATGGGGGGGGGGGTTAGGAAGATGTGTTGTTTTCTATATTGAAAGTGAAACATATTTACATGGGATCCCAGGGACTGGAACATTCCCTGCTTTGCTACCAGGTTTTCTGCACCTCTCTTTTATTCTGTGATATATGATTTAATGGGAACCTCTCCCGTGTGTAGCAGGAAAATAAAAATTGCTTTGTGGGATCAGTTTGCCTGTCCATCTTATCCAGCATCTAATCTCTGATAGTGGAATTACCAGATGCTTCAGGTTGAGGAAATCATATTAAGGAAAACTATGAAATAATCTGCCCATCTGGTCCCTTCTGCCTCCTCTATTCTCTCCTTTCAATCCTATCTAATATAAAAGTGGAATTCTCATTATCTCTTTAAAAGTCTCTTCCTTTCTGGAATCCTGCTAAGCTCTGATTCAGTGGTATTTCATGGCATTATGGGATTAAGGAGTAGATTTAAGTAAAATAATACCCACAATTGTTGGGACTATTGGATCACTGGGTGAGGATGACAAATTCCTGCTGCTGCAAATCTCCTGACAGCTGCTCCCGTGCAGGGAAGCCTCAGCAGTTTAAAGAGAAGAGGGAGGATGGGGGAAGTGATAAAGAACTTGCACAGCTTGATGATTTTTTTTTTTTTCAAATTACTTGAGGGCTTCCCAGCAGGACACACTGCCCCTTCCTCCTGCCTGCCTGGGGGTCCAGAGCATGGAAAGGGCCTTTGGAAAAGGGATAGGACGAGGGGGAATGGCTTAAAAATGACAGAGGGCAAGGTTAGGGTGGATTTCTTCTCCTCATAGGTAAGCAAAGGGTTTTATTCCCTTCTGGAGCACCCTGAGGTGCCTGCACAGGAGGGACATGGAGAGAGTCCAGAGGAGGCCACGGAGATGCTCCCAGGACTGGAGCTCCTCTGCTCTGGAGCCAGGCTGGGAGAGCTGGGGGGGTTCACCTGGAGAAGAGAAGGATCCAGAGAGACCTGAGAGCCCCTTGCAGGGCCTAAAGGGGCTCCAGGAGAGCTGGAGAGGGACTGGGGACAAGGCATGGAGGGACAGGACAAGGGGGAATGGTTTCAAACTAAAAGAGAGGGAGTTTAGATTGGATATCAGGAAGAAATCCTTCCCTGTTCAGGTGGGGAGGCCCTGGCACAGGTTGGGCAGAGAAGCTGTGGCTGCCCCTGGATCCCTGGGAGTGTCCAAGGCCAGGTTGGAGCAACCTGGGCTGGTGGAAGGTGTCCCTGCCCATGGCAGGGGATGGGATTGGATGTTCTTTCACGTCCTTTCCAACCCAAACCATCCTGTGATTCTATGACAGAAAAGCTTTGGAGATGTGTTGGGAGCTCAATTTGCTTTTTCCAGCATTCCCCTGGTTTGTGTTACCACGGGGACCATGAGACCTCAAAGCATGACCTGGGCAGGGCTTTACCATCACCTGCAGCCACTGCTAAAGATGGAACAGTTTCATATCATGGCCTTGGTTTTAATTTTTCCCATTTGTGTGTTTGGGGGTTGAGTCAGAGCCATTACACTCAAGTGTCTCAAGTGGCTGAATCACCCATTTATTTCCATGGGAGTCTTTTCTGGGAGCAGTTGGGCTTTTTGGCACCATCTGGCTTGAGCTGGTTTTATTACCAAAGGACTTGTGTAGCAGCAAGTTGAAAGTCTTTCTGTGGGATGTAGTGCAAAAGATGGAGAGTTTTACCTTCTGGGTAGAATTTGGGTC